GGCCCGTCTGACCTGCTCAATCCATCCATCCATTTCACGTGCAGTTTGCAGTGGCGGTCTTCTGACCCTGCTCACATCAGACTCTTCCCCGTGGGAGCCCCTTGCGCATACTACTACCACTGACAGACGGACGCACCCGGTAGTCACGACCTGGTCTCAGGGAGCTCCAAGTCCATCCTCCCACCATCAGGGGCCCTGGTGGAACAAGCACCCTGGGACTTAGACTCCGTGCGTGGGGACGCCTATTCAGTGGAGTGCTAGTAGTACCGCCCGGCGGTCCCCTTACACAACCCTGCAGTCAGCCAAACACCTGAAGCTGATTACGGAGGTGTATTTAAGGGATGGCCAGACCTGCAGTCTGTGCCTTGGTGTGTGTTTTTTCCATGGGCCTCTGTATCTTGTTACCTGCATTCCTGTTACTGTTCCTGCTGATTGATTTGTTGCTGACCCTGCCTGATCCTGACCTCTGCTGACTTCTCCTGTTTGATCCCTGGCTTGTGACCCCCTAGACCATTCTCTTGCCTGACCCCCTGTACCTACCTGCCCGTGTAGTTGCTGTACCGGCTTGTGACCTGACTATTTCTCCTGCCTGCTCCTCCTGTTCCTACCTGCCCGATTGTTATTGACCCAAGCCTGCCCTGACTACGCTTGCATTGTATGTATTGTTATCTATGGGTGGTTTGGTTCATTTGCACTGTGTTTATGTTTTAGTTTGGGTGCACTGCGTTTTGTATTGTTAGTATTAAATTATATTGTTTTATAACATATCTGAAGCCTGCGTTTCCCTGTGTCAGTTCACATACCTCTGGTCATCACACCCGGAGCCCTGACATTACACCAAGGCCAATCCTGACCAGAAGTGGCTGCACAGGGATCTGCCATCTTGGCTTTTGTTGCTGGGAAGGAATGGATCTTGATGAGGTTGTGTATTTATCTCTGCTAGTGTTTGATGACAAAGACTATGCTTATCAGACTCTGAAGGAGTATACCCGGGATCAACTGCTAGAGTGTGATAAGGATCGCTCATTGTCTAGTTGATCAGGGCACAGAGTTTTCTGAGGTGCAGCCATTGATCCAGGTTTGTGCTGAGTTGGCTCGGTCCTGTACCCCCCCTGAAAGCAGGAATGACTTTTTTCCCCCATTTAGTGTGGATCAATTAGAATCACTGATATGGTTGTTGGAGGATGATCCAGATTGTTTCCATGAGCAACTATGCAGCTTGTCCATCACATGTGCTCATGGATTGAATAAACGCAGTGCAGTCTTTGGTCAGACAGGCTATGTGTAAGCTGAGTTTTGTTCAACCAGTACTGCAGACATGGACAGATTTGTTTACACCCAGCCTCAGTCGGCTTGCAATATCATTCCTCTGCTCAAGAGGCACTCTTCCTGCATCCCCGACAGCACCCCCCAGTGACTGCCCAGTATACTCTACAACTACCACATACCAGTCCCACTGCTCCCACTCGCTGCACCTATCCTTTCTTTGGCCCTGTGGAGAGGTTCCTTCTGTGGCGGCTGCTCCCTCCTCTGTTACATCTTCCAGCTCTTCTCTGTCCTCAAACTGCTCCATTCGTTTGCAGACCTGCATTTTACTTGCAGTGCTCAGTACTAAAACCAGAAAAAGCGAAAATTCTTTCCAACCAGTACCATCCTGCCAGTATCCAAACCGGTGAGCTTGCCGGTCTGAGAACCTGCCTTCCTTGGTTCAGCCTGGTGCCTCGGCACCCCGCACTTCAGCCTGATGTCTGTACGCAGCCTGATAAAGACTGATCCAGCCTGATGATCATATCACGCCTAATGACCCAGTGCCAGCTGTCATGCCTGGTTGACCCTCGATGCCGCTGTCGAGCCAAAATGACTGATGCTTGGTGACATCCGATGCCCGCTGTCGAGCCAGACGATCCAACTGTCTCTGATGATCCAGTGAGCCACGGTCATGCCAGTTAGTGACTCGGAGCACACTGTCGTGCCTGGTGACTTTGGTGCCCACTGCCTTGCCAGATGACGCGGTGTGCCTCGCTGGCGAGCCAAATGACCTGATGCCTGGTGACCCGATGCCCGCTGTCGTTGCCTGATGACCCGGTGCCCGCTGTCCATGCCAATTGAACTCAGAGCCCACTGTCGTGCCTGGTGACTCGTCGGGTGCCACACTGCCTTGCTAGATGACGCGGTGCCCCGCGTGTCGAGAGCAAATGACCTGATGCCTGGTGACCCGATGCCCGCTGTCGTGCCTGATGTACCCGGTGCCCACTGTCATGCCAATTGACTCAGATAGCCCACTGTCGTGCCTGGTGACTCTCGGTATTGCCCACTGACTGCCCCTTGCCAGATGAACGCGGTGGCCCGCTTGTCGAGCCAAATGACCTGATGCCTGGTGACCCGATGCTCGCTGTCGTGCCTGATGAACCCGGGCTCCCGCCTCCCCGCCTTGGGGAGCCCGTGTCCGCCGCTGCTCCGTCTGTGGGCACGGGCGCCCCACCGCGTCCGCTCCGCCTGGGAGCCCGGCGCCCGCCGCTCCGCCTGGGGGCGCCAGCTCCGCCGCGTCCGCCTGGCCCTGGGGCCGCGGCTCCCGCCGCTCCGCCTGGGGGCCAGGCACCCGCCGCTCTGCCCTGGGGGCCCGGTGGGGGGGGGGCCTGCCACGCCCCTCTGGGGGCCCTCGGTGCCCGCTGCCCCCTCCTGGGGGGCCCCAGTGCCCGTCGCTCGGCCTGGGAGGGCCGAGCTCCTATCGCTCCTGCCTGGGGGGGACCGGAGCCCGCCGCCCCGCCTGGGGCCCGGCGCCCTCGCCGCATCCGCATGGGGGCCCAGGCGCCCTAGCGTCGCGCCGCCCAGCCTGGTGGCCCGCGCGCCGCCGCCGCTGAGCCGCCTGGTGGCCCGGCGCCCGCCGCCCCGCCTGGCGGGCCCGGCGCCGGCCGGCCAGCCGCCGCCTCGTGGGCCCGGGCGCCCGCCGCCCCTCCTTGTGGCCCGGCGCCTGCCGCCTCCGCCTGGTGGCCCCGGTGCCTGCCAGCCCCGCCTGAGATACCGGTAGTGCCAGCCCGATGTGCCTCTGCCCGAAGTCCAGCCCGATGTGCCTCTGCCCGGAGCTCCAGCCCGATGTGCCTGCTGGCCCGGAGTCCAGCCCGAATGTGCTCTCTGCCCGGAGTCCATCCCGATGTGCCTCTCTTGCCCGGAGTCCAGCCCGATGTGCCTCTAGCCGGAAAGTCCAGCCCGATTTCCTCTGCTTGGAGTCCACCCGATGGGGCCTCTCCCCCGGGGCCTGCCCGATTTCCAGTCTTCCCCCGGCCATTCCCAAAACCCGGGGTGGAACTTTTTTTCCCCAGCTAACTTTTTGGGAGGGGCCCTGAGGCCGCTCCTTGAGGGGGGGTACTGTCAGGAAGGATTTCCCCCAATAATGGGGGGACTTCCACCTGCCTTTGGGCTGCAGTCCCCGGGGCCGGGCCAGCGGGTGCTCTAAAGCAATCAAAGACTAAACCCCTTTTGCAGTCGGGCCAAACACCTAAAAGCTGATTACGGGGGTTGTTTTTAAAGGGATGGCCAGCCCTCAGTCTGGCCTTGGGGGGGTGTTTTTTCCAGGGCCCCCTTTAAACCCTTGTTACCTGCTTTCCCCTTTTTCCTGTTCCCCCTTTACTGATTTTTTTGCCGACCCTCCTGATCCTGACCTCTGCTGACCCCCTCCTTTTTGATCCCTGGTTTTGGGGACCCCAAACCCATTCCTCCCTTTGATCCCCTGTCCCACCTGCCCTTTAGTTCTGCCCCCCCGGCTCTTGACCGGGGACAACCCCCATGCCTGCTCCTCCTTTTCCTACCCTCCCATTTTTTATTGCCCCGGGCCTCCCTGACTTCCCTTTTGCTTGTATGTATTGTTATCTATGGGGGGGTTTGGGTTTTTTTTTTCGTTTGCACGGGTGTTTAGTTTTAGTATTGCCCCTGCTTTTTTTTGGTTTTGTTATTATTAAAAAATTTATATTTTTTTTTAAACATATCTAAAGGGCCTGCTTTTCCCCCCTGTGCCCATTTTTCAAATACCCGGGTCATACCCAGCCCTCCCCTAAACAAATCCTAAACGGGCTTTTTTTCCCAAAAAAAGGGAAAACGGGACAAATCAGGGGTAGAAAGCCCCCGGGATGTTTTTCCTAAACCCCATTGCAGTGTTTCCATTGTCCAGCCACCATGAGGCACAGTTTTTTAGGGTAAACCCAACTGCCCACCCTTCATCAACACGGGAAAAAGGGGGAAAAGGGCCCTGACCCTTCTGTGAGGAAAAGGCCTAAAAACCCCCCACATGATTTTGCTTAAGAGGGGAGATAAACCGGGAAACGGGCAGAAAAAAATTTTAGGTTTTCATGGAAAACAGTGCCAAAACACTGAAACTCAAAACAAAAATTTATGCAAAAGGGCATCAAAAGACCTTTTTAGGAAATTTTACATTTTTTCAAATGGGAAAAAGGGCTTTCTAAAACTTAAAATGTGAAAAAATTAAAATTAAAATTTAAATGTACAAAACAACTAATAAATATAAACGGGTGGCTACAGGGGTAACAAATTTGGTTATGGGTTTCTGGTCAAAATTTTTGGGTTTTTTTTAAAAAAGAAAGGAAAAAATTTTCTTTTTTTTCCCCCTTTTTTTTGGGTTCCCCTTTTTTTTTTTTCCGGCCAAAAATTTTTCTTTTTTTTGGATAAAATTGGCCCACTTTTAAAGATTAAATTTTTGTAGAAAAGAGTCTTTTAAATTTTGTTAAAAACTTTGCGTAATTGTAACTTAAAAAGAAGGGGGGGGAAAATTTACCAAAAAAAAAAAACAGCAGCAACATGGCCAAAATAACTTAAATTTCTAATGCACAAAAAAGAAAAAAAAAAGTAAATTTCCCAAAAAGAACTGTTAGGGCTGTTTTAAAACACAAAAGCAGATGGACTGAAATTTATCTCTTCCTACCTGACAAAATTTCCCAAATCATAGTTACATAGTTAAAAAATTTTAAAGTTTTAATAAAAAAAACCAGTCCATCCCAAATTCAACCTGTGTGGGGGTGGTGTTTCAGTCAAAAACTTTTCCCGAAACTCTGCACACTGTGTTTCCCTTTAAATACCATTTCCCGGATTTTTTTTTAAAATATCAAAACTTCCCGCTGAAACCACCATTTTTTTAATTTAGTTTTCCCCATCCTTTTCTGCACTGACAGTGAAAAAACCCTTTTTTAAATTTAAAGGTTTAAAACCCCTTCTTCTCCCTTTCATTTAGTTTGGCTGTGTATCTTCTTAACTTTTCCCCAGACTGAAAAGTTTTTTTTCCCTTTCCTAAACCCCATTAAGATATTTGTTATCACTATCGTATCCCTCTCAAGAGACTCTTCTCCAGGAAAATGGTTTAATTTTTCAGTTTTTTCCTCGTAACTGAGGTCCCCCAGGCCCTTTTTAAACTTTGTTCCCCTTCTCGGGACTTCCTCCTTTCCCCCCCTCCCTTCGAAGATTGGTGACCAGAACTTAATGTTTATTCCAGAGTGGCCGAACCAAGTTTCAAAAAAGTGGCAGGTTTATTTTTTTAAATCTCTTGTGTAAATTTCCCCTTTTTAACCTTTTGCCCCCCAGAATTTTTCCCCCCTTTCCGGCCAGGCCTTTTTTTTGCGATAGGGACTAAATTTTTTAAACTGAAATTGTGTGGTCATGCAACACTGAAAACGCTTTAAATTTATGTATTTTTTCCCCACAATAGACTTTTGTGGTTTTTTTTTTTGATCATCATGCATTTTTTTTCTTTTTTGTCTTTAAGCAAAAAAGAAAATGAAAAAAAAAACTTTTTTTTTATTTTTTGTATAAAAACATATACAAAAAAAAAATAAAATTTTTTTTCAAAAATTTGGGCCCAGATGGTTTTTTCGCCAAAATTTTTTGGGTTTAAAAAAATTACTAATAAGCGTATATTGTTAGTTTTGCAAAAAAGTTTAGCTTCTACAAACTATGGGACATATACAAAAATTCAAAAGAAAACTTTTTTATACTAAAAAATTGGCACGGTCGGGGATTTAAAAAAGAGACTGCCGTGGAAAAATTTTTACAGTAACTGATACAAAAATGACATTTTGGGGAACCATAAAAATACTGGTGACCCAGTGTTTTTAAATAGGCGCTGTTTACTGTATACTGACATGGCGGGGGGAAGGGGTTTAAACATCTAGGGAAAACCAAAGGGCCCCTTTGCCCAATCAGCTGCAAACCTTTCCCCTGTCCGTTTTGCGGCCCAAAAAAATTTAGGTTTAGTGGTCTGGCTATAGTTTTTTTGAAAAATCTGGGGTTAAGCCATCCTTTTCCTGGTGTTTTAAATTGTGTTGTTTTTTTTTAGTTTTTTTTTTCCACTGGGTTCTTCGGGTTAGCCACAAGGTTTACTTTCCCTGTGATGGGGTTTACAAAATTTTGATACAGCCCTTGATTACTTTTCCCCCCCCTTTGTAAAAGCGAGGGAAGAATGCTTTAGTACAGTTCCTTTCCCTTTTTTGCCATTTGTCCCCAAACTTCCCTTCATAAACCTTTGGGGGGGCCAAAAATTTTCCCTGAACCCCCTTTTTTTTTAACTATTAAAAATTTTAAAAAACTTTTTCGTTTTTTTTTACTCTCCTCTGGCATGTGTTTTGTAGTCTATTTTAGAAACCTGATTGTGTTCTTAAAACCTTTTTATTGCATTCTTTTGTGTGTTGGAAAAATCTGAAAATGTCCTCATCA